CAGGCTCCCCCAGCCTGTCAGGCCTCCCATCCACAGGATCCTGGTTAAAGGGTTAAGCAGTTCAACATAATGTTTAACTGGTAAACTGATTAAACAGGATTTTACATCTCTACTAAGAAGACTATGTACTCTCCATCACTGAAGACTTTTAAGAGTAGGTTGGACAAACATCTATCAGGGATGGTCTACATCAACAGTGGGCAACCTGTGGTCCAAGTGCTGCAAGTGGCCCATTGGGGTTCTATATGTGGCCGAGGAGACTTTGTTTACTGCTGTCCACTATTCAGCTGGTCTCCATATGCATATTTTCCCCCCCACTTAGTATACTAAACTGGCACACTTAAAATCAGGGCACATAAAGTGAGGGGCATGCTGATTACACACCACACTAACTGAGTGCCATGTGCTCCTTCGGCATTTAAAGCACTACTGGGGTACAGTAGAATCATTCAAATTCTATGTACGTAAGCACAATTAGCAAAACTACCGTATCCCGGGAGACGATTTTCATTACAATCTAGCAGCCCACTCACGCAGACTGTTCACTGGCCTAGGTTGCCTATTGCCAGTCTAGATTAGGGACATGAATGGTTAACTGGTAAGCCTCACTCTTAATGGTGAACCAGTAGGGGCTAGAGAAGTTCCCCGCCTGCATGGGGTCTGCTCCAGCCCTACGGAGCCTGTTGCAGGCAGAAGCTGCTCCAGCCAGCCAGCCAGCTGGAGCAGCCCCTGTTTGGGGCAGGCCCAGCACTGTACTATAAAGTAAGAGGAGACTTGAAATTGCTGATGCTGATGGCTGTTGGAGAAGAGTGTTCCCTATGATCAGAGCAAGGGGACTGGTAATAAGGACTTCTAGATTCTATTCCTGGCTGTGGGAAAGAAGTGTTGTCTAGTGGCACATGGCTTAGGAAATATCAGCAAGAATGCTGACATCTGGCATTCTTTCTAATTGTATGAGACTTGGGTATGTATTATTAAGAACTTGACTTCTATTCCCAGCAAGGACATTCTCAAATAAGATGACATTGTGCAAACTGTGTGATGGATACTTTCCTACCTTCAAAGGGAGCAGGGAAGGAAATTAGGCTTTTTTCAATAAGTGACAAAAGTGAACATCTGAAAGACGAAGAAAAAAAGGTCTGAACTGGAAGCAAGGAACAGAGTTCTGCTCATCTTCCCCTACTAAAAGTCTCTTGATGAAACCTCTAAGCTCTCTCTTCCCTACTGCAGACTAAGAGCTTGAAATACTATTCTTGAGTACTCTGCCACAGGAAAATTAGACTGTCCTGAATCAAGGCAGCAGCCTCTTGGCTCAATTCCAACGGGACTGAAGCCACGAGGAAGATGACCACCCCCTACATTCTAATAGTCAGGAAGCAGTGAGGAGATGGAGCAGAGGCTTTTACCATAACCAGGAAGCAGCAGAGTTCCAAGGAGAGAGAAGCTCTAAGCTCCAGTGTTAGGAGCTCAGCAGTTTCTGTAAAGCACTGCAATTCTGAGATATTCACACACAGAGCCCTGCAAATCCAGGACTCATTTTTGTAGTTACCAATGCAGATGAAGATACAAGTTTTGTATCCGTGCAAGGCTCTACCCATACACTATAAGGAGCTGTGGACAGCTGGATGGTATATACAGTAAGGATGTTAAGTATCGGGTAATTGGTTTTTGCATCAACTATTTGATTAGTTGATAGGGCACCTCTGCCTTTGAAGGGACTCTCCTGCTGACTCCAGGCTCCGTGCAGCGCTGCTGCTTTGAAACGCCATGAGGAGCCCCACGGAGCAGCTCCTCACGGAGTGCCACACGGAGCAGCTGACCCCCGGGCTCCCTGTGGCACTGCTGTTTTGAAGTACCCTCCTTTTCTCCCTCCCCTCTTGCTTCCTCTCCCTCCCCCCTTGCTGCATTTATCTGACAGAGGCAGCGGTGAAGGGGAAGTGACTAGCTGACTAGTCCTTCACATCCCTAGTATACTGGATAATTCACATTTTTCTACTGCCCCACGAACATGAGATACCTTGTGTTAGGCTTAGGAAAGGTAACTCCCCTCAGCCTCACCTCAAACTTCCTCTGCTTCCTCCATATCCTTACAAACAATAGGAAATATTGAAAAGAATCTTGCCTGTCAGTCCATGTCCAAAGCCTTCTTCACTTGTTAAATCAAGAATCTATGAACATCCATGAACAAATTTCCCTTAGAAGTGGCTAAGTTTAGGTTTTAGGTGATATCCCCCAAAGAAATGACAGCTAGAGGTCCCCTCTTACACCACACATTTCCTTTGACAGTGTAAAACTTCAAGTTGTCAGAAGGAAGTTCCTTCTGCCTCCAACTGACAAGGATACACATTGATCTCTCTCAAAGCATAATAAAAATCCTAACTACAACTTCATGCTTCCTGTACATACATTCAACTTGTGCACATCAGCCTCGAATATTTACTAATACGGAAGTAATTGAGATTTTGCATTCTACCACAAGGAAGATTTGAGTGTTATGCATTTTGTTTCTTTATTAGTTGGCGGCAGAAGCAAACTATTTATGATGAGGAATCCATCAGTGGAAATATGCTGTGAGGGTTTTAGAGTACATATAAAAGGTGTCCCATAGTTGGCATTTCTTTGCTTTTTAGGGTTTGCACTGCTGGGGATGGAGAACACATTAATCAACTTGAATTGCTTTTAAGGGTTTTTTTTATATACACAATATAAATGTACAGGACTACATTTTTAGACCATTTTCCTTTCCATCAAATTATTTTGATTATAAACTTTTATCCGTATCCATAAATCCTGTTATGTTAGATGGTAGCTTGCATGCATTATTAAACAGCTACTTTGCTACATTAAGACGACCTAAAGTTATTGATTTGATAGTACCAGGACAGCAGTATATTTATTGCATTATTGTTGTTATATGTTGCTTCAAGCCAGAAAGCTTTTCATATTTAGTGAATATGTCAAATTGCTTCTCCTATTCTTGCACAAGTAGAAACAGAATAAATATTCTGTCATAAACACACTGGATGACAATGTGGTGGTGGTCCAATAAGGGATGAGACCACCAAAGAACTGTAGAGAAAGTACCTTATCCTCCAGAAATCTGCCCTAATCTTGCCTTCTCAATATCAGGACAAAGCTATAAACATATGATTGTAAGAGACTATATGGTAACTTATGAACAAGTAAATTCTCAAAGTGAAATCATACAGCATTTGTTACAAGGATATGGAAAAAGAATCCACTCTGCAGATGAAATACAAAAAGCTCCACTACAAAACAAATGCACCAATAGCTGTAGACTTACAATGCAGATGTGAGAAATTGTTAATTATTCAGTTGACAATCACATTATTGACATCAATAGATAACTTCAGAAATGGAATCCCCCTTAGGTTGCTAGCATGTAACAAAGAGTGGTGGCCCCCACAGAAATTAAGAACCAGCTATTCTGATATTTTAAAGCACTAATCTAATACTAAGGCATTTGGTATTTATTAAGATAAAGATGTAGACTTCCTTATAGCCCCACCCAAGGAAATCCTTTTAGATTGGTAAAGAAACACCCTATCTAATTCATATGCGTGTGACACACAGGATAATGCAATGTGCCCAAGATCTTATAAGCCTTACCTCCCCCACAGCTTTTTATGCCACAAAGAAAATTAGTCACCTTCACCAATCATATTTATTTAAACAACCTAAACTGGTCAGCTATCATCACCAATTTAACATAAACCAGGAAGTAGAGCCAATCCAGTCTAATAGTATTACCAAACCACTACCTATAAATAAAATTCATAACAAAGATACACCTTTACAAGAAAAAAAAAATTATCCTGTGCCACCACCTGTGCCTTTTCTTGTGGGTTTTCAGCAGTCAGGTTGATTAATACCATGGAACACAAATAATGAAACTTATCACATGGATTATCTGGAATTGCCTCTTTCCTTCAAAGGTACACTCAGATTAAAGCATGCACTCTAAATGTGAAGTACCCTCCTCACAAGCCCCCCTTCCTCTTTTAACCGATTATAACAAATCTGTCACACACAGGACACAAAGCCTTGCTAAAGAAGCAGAATTTCCTGGCCTGTCCCTGCTGCCCCCACCCCATCCGTTCCAGGTAGGCACCGGATTAGCCTGACATTTCAGGCTAAGCCAGGCAGGGTTTCAGGCCAAGGGCACTCTAGGGCCACTCCTTTTACTCGCAGCCAGGCGGCTCTTTTGGAAAGGGAGGCGGCGGTTACCGGGTTTCAAGGGTCACATCCTGGCAGCTAGGGTGTTACCAAGGGATGCGTCATACCCAATGGGCGGCATCTCCCCTTCATGCAAAGCATGGGCTTTAAACCTGGGGGGAGAGGGAGAAATGACTAGCTGGCGCTGCTCCTTTTCCCCAACCCAGCTCTCACTAGCCCAGAGCTGCTCCCCCCTCCAGGGGTATCCTCTCCGTCGTGCCGGGAGATGTCCGAACCGCGACCCCCGGGAATCGCCCCACCGCCCGCCCTCCCCTGGCAGGCCTCACCCCACTCGAGGAAGTCGGAGACATATCGGTCCCTGCGGAGCGGCGAGTCGCGGCTGCACTCGGTGTAGAGCCCGACCAGCAGGTCCAGCAGGGTCTCCACGCTCAGCGCGCTCTCGTTGCGCCGCGGCCCGTCCAGCAGCAGCTGCTCCAGCTTCTTCAGCCGCACCTTGGCCGACATGGTGCCGCCGGGCGGAGCCGGGGAACACCGGCCCAAACAGGGGGACGGGGACGCACAGAGGCCCCAGACGACGACGCTTCAGCGTCCCCGCAGCAACGGCAGCACCATCCGCTCCGCGGCGCTCGGCTCGGCAGCCCGGGCCCGGCAGCGGCGGGGTCTCCTCCTCCCCCTCACGCCGACATTTTGGGAGGCCCGCCGGGGGCTGGGCAGCTGTTTCCACGGGCTCTGCCCCAGGCCCGGCTGGTCCATTGACCGGTCCGCCCGGACCCGGCCTCCTGCGCCCGCCTGGCCGCCGCTGCGCTCAGCTTCTCTCAGGGCCGCAGAGTCCGGTACGGGGATCCGCCGCGGTTGCTCCTCCTGATGGGACCGGAGGCTTCAGGTAACCCGGGGCCGCGACTCCTCAGCTGCAGCGAACACGGCTCTGTCCAAAGGAAGCACCGAGCGGCCCCAGCCGGGACCCAGAGCTACGCCCACCACGCTAGCGTACGGACGGACGTGTGAGGCGGGGCGAAGCTGTCCCGAGGAGTATTGGGAAAAGTTGTTTGCCGTAGAGGTAGGGCCGCTCTCAAGTGTCTTTGGAATGACCTCCGCAGATTCGTCATTCCTGGGCAGAGGCGAACCGATTAGTTTCAGTAAATTCGTTCCCTGGTAACGGGGGAGGAGGAGAAGGCTTTGCTTTCTCCTCAGCAGATTCGCATCGACTCCCTGGCTTCCGTTAGGCAAATGGCGGCAGCTGCTGTCGGGGGTTCAGGCCGTGCCGGCGGCTGAGGTAACCCCAGCGCAGGTGTGGGACCCCGGCCGCCCAGCGAAGACAAGGCTGGCATCAGCCGCACGTGTCCCACCCCCGTCAGACCCCACAGCGATCGTCAGCCCCTCCCCCCCGCAATAGGAGAGTGAGCGGCCGGGGCTGGCGCCTCGGGGTCCCAGGGACGCTCAGCCCGCCCCGCCTGGGCGCGTCCGGCTTCGCCTTCAGCCTGCGCGGAGGCCCGGCTTAGGGTGAGAGCGTGCGCAGCGGGAGCGTGGCTGACAGGCAGTGCAAGAGCCGTGTCCCCACGGACCCTTCCGCCGCAGGGAGCACGCAGGGCAAGTGCCGGCTCCCGGGGCCACCGCGGCTCCAGAGCCGGCTCGCTCTGCTGTCGTTTGCAAGGCATCTGAGGGCACCTCCAAGCACCGACCGATCTTTAGCCATGGCCCGTCATAGCAGTGGAGGGAGGGAGGGATGGGTGTTACACTGTGATGAAAGGTAATTTACTGGTAGCCGAGGTAATACCGCAGGTTGTCAACAACAAAAGAGGATTTTGTTTAACCCAGAACAAATGGAACTGGATTCCATCTACCTACAAAAACATTAAAATAATATAAGGGTTGGACTATTTATATACACCAACACCCTATAGCTTGCTATTAAGTGTACTTAACGACATATCTCTTTCTAAATGAAGAATATCTCTAGCTATCCCAATCTGCCCAAGCAATTTTTGTTCTAGTTCAAAGCTTTCCTTTCCCCAAATATCTCACTGGGCATTTTCTAATAGCCAAGTCAATCTCTGAGCCTCACTAAGATGGGAGGAGCTACCTCCCCTACATAGAAAAATGACAGTGAATACAACATAAATCATGTCCCGAGACAGCAAGGAATGCCTTTACCATATTTATATTAGTATTCCATACCTACAACTGCCAGCTTTTGCGGGCCTGATGCAACATTGGACATTTGGAACTCAACTCTCTGAGCCACAGCCATTGTGAATAATGCAAGAAGGTCCCTGGTAAGAAGTCATTGTCTCTGGCAACTGTGGCCACTTTTAGCCATGGAACCCAACATAGGGCTAGGATTTGAGTTCAGGGACTGTGGCTCTCAATAGTCAAATAGAATAGAGCACTAAGTGGTGGTGTTGACACGAATTTGGGACTGTAGGGGGCATTGAATAAAGCAGTCAGAGTGTTTACATCATTTTTATTACATTACAGCACATTCTGGGAGTTGTCAGCTCTGAGAATTACAGCTGTTTGGGCCCAGCTGCAGAATTGGGAGCTTTCAATTCCATGGGATGTGGTCACACAGAGCCTGAATTAGATTTGCATGCTAGGTCATGAGCCATGAGGTCACAAGCCCTCCTATCAGGACCAAATGAATCACTGCATGCTGAAAGTTGCCATCCCAGGGAACAAGGCCACTCAGACCCACATGTCTCAGTTTCCAAGCATTGCATACAGGAAGCTGTTATTTCTAGGTTGGGGCTGGAGAGAAGTGCTGTAGAAGCCAGAGCTGTTCAGGTTCAGAGGTAACAAGTTTGCAGCTGTCTCTGAGGGCTATGCTGCTACATGCTGGATAGAGTTGCATGCTCTGATATGTTAACCATATGGATCCAGGCAGTTGGAGCTGACCAGATGTAGGAAGGCTACAGATAAGGATGATGTCATGGTAGATGTCTACAAAAGATCTAACCAAGAAGAAGTGAATGAGGCTTTTTTTAAGCAATTAACAAAGTCATCCAAAACACAGGGGCTACGTCTACACTGGCCCCTCTTCCGTAAGGGGCATGTAAATTTCAGCAGTCGTCGTAGGGAAATCCGCGGGGGATTTAAATATCCCCCGCGGCATTTAAATAAACATGGCCGCCGCTTTTTTCCGGCTTTTAAAAAAGCCGGAAAAGAGCGTCTAGACTGGCCCCGATCCTCCGGAAAAAGCGCCCTTTTCCGGAGG